CCAATAAGGAAGAGGAGAGGGAATAAGAGGAAGGACGTAAAACAAAAAAAACTCAACCAACTCCGTTTGCGTCTCCCCTCTGGATCATCTCCTTCATCCCTCCTTCACCTCTTTCTCTTCTCAACATTTTTCCGAAACTCTCTTGGCCCCTTTCCACCAACCCAACCGTTACACATGGCCAGCTAAAATCTAGGAGCCCTTGTTGTTTCATCTCAAGGGCACAACCCTCGAATACTAACATTGATTAACAGTGCATGTCAAAATAATAATGATGGGTAGGGTAGCTAACCTAACACCAACCCAACTTACCCCTTCATTGTTCTCCTTACTACCCCTCCACCTGTGCAAAACCTCATCCACCCCACCTCTATCCTATGCTGCTTTCGTGGTGTGTTTATGCAGCACAACATAATAAGGGTCTTGACTAGCTAGTCACACAAGCCCGACTCACTTTTCTTAAGATCTCCAACCCTGCGCACGTGAAGGTGCGAAGAAACTTTTCGCCTTTTTTCGTTTTTGGTTGCTTTAGGTTTAGTTGTGTGGCTACATATCCACATATTCTGCGCTCGGGTCGATAAAATGAGAACACAAGGTATGTTTCAGTGCTGTGTGCCGTGTTTAAGCTAGATTGTGGATTGTACATATCACTAACACAACGACTGGGAAAACTGCGGAGTTTGAATATAAAGAAATCAGAGCAGTAGGATTGGCTCTGGCAGCAGCGGCGGCAGAAGCAGGGAACAGGGACTTATCTCTCAAAGATGGGATTTGGTTTGGGCCAACAGAACCAGAATAAATATGATTCTCATTACTCTTTACCTTTGGAGAAATGTTGACTCTTAAATATTGAATAAGATATTTAAGCTGGAAGGTCTCGAAATTATGGATTCCCCGTCCTCCCTCCCCACAAGCAGGTGGTGGGGTGGATATCTCAGCTTCGTTCCGGAAACTCATGTGGGATATCCCGTGTTCTATAGTTGCTCCATCTGCATCACCCTTCGTTGTGTTTTGACAACAGGAAAGGTGAAACGTGAAAGGGAAAAGGTAAAAACCCTCATCCGTGATCCAATTACATCTCAGTTGAACAATGAGGACCCCTGATGCTCATCTCTTCAGCGTACCGAGAAATAGTATTTGAGAGCTAGGAGATTGACCGAAACAGTTTTTTCATGGATCTAGTCCTCAATCCCCTTATTTCTTCGGCTCCAATCTTCAATTCAACCTAGGAAGTTCAGCAGCCTTCGTGTCTTCTTCAATCGACATACTCAACCCTAGTCAAGTCCACAAGTAGCTTAGTTCCTTTCTCCCGTAGGCTATCCGGGTGATGGAAGCAGGGCTGAAGTTGCGGCTGTTGTTGGTGGTTGCGAAGCCTTTTTCCGGACTTCTTTGGACGCTCGAACCAACCGGTTCCTGGAGCCTGAAAAGCTAAGCTTTGCAACAAATAGGATTTTAATGTGCTCCGTGCTGTACTAGATATATGCATGCATGTAATGTATGTATGTACCATAAATTCGAGAAAAAGCATGGATTGCGATGGTCGAGGATATTCATGTGAAGAAGAACAAAAGCGGGAGAACGGAACTGACGTCGAACTGAGTTGGAGCTCAAATTTCATTAGCCGATACAGAGCTTTGACTTTGCAGAGGCCGACGATAGAGTATCGAGTAGATCCATCTGGAGCAGAATCCATGGTCCGCAAACCGTAACGTAATTCCCCACCGAGCCGATCACCCATCGAACCAATCAACAACCCACAAATCGCGTAACTAACTAGATTTTAACCTGAAATATCTACAACTCAGCGGCAAAAATAATTATATTGACATTAATTTACACCAGGATGAGGACATCTGAGTCCTGTATGCCCCAGGATGGCACAATTACTGTATCTTGCGATGGTCATACATCTGAGCGAAGATAATTAAATCAGTAATGCATCAGACTAAGCTTTATCTTTACACATTATTTATAGAAATTAAAATATTTAAAAAGATTAATTCAGTATATTTTTTAAGTAACTGAAAAATTAATATTAACTTTTATAATAATTAAATTATAGATGAAATAGATATTAAATAATATATAAATATTTATTTTAATAGCAAATATATAATAAATTAATAAATTTATTTTTTTAATAATTAATAATTATTATATACTTAATTTTAATTAAATTTATAAAAAAAATTTTTTTATATATTATTAATTTATATTATATTTTATAACTTTTATATATTAATATTATTATAATTTTAAAAAATATTTAAAAATAAGTAAATTAAAAAATAAATTATAATTTAAATTTAAAATTATTAAAAGTTTAATTTTTAAAATTAAAAAAACTTAAAATAGTTCTATAATTATTAATATAATTTTATTTAAATTAAATTTAAATTTTTTAATAAAATAATATTTAATTTTAAAAAAATATAAATTTTAAATTAATTAAAAATATTAATTAAATTATATATATTTTTAAATAAAATAAAATAATTAATATTAATAGTAAAAAAATATTAAAAATTTAATTAAAAATTATTTTATTTTATAATAATATTAAATAAAATTATTATTTAAATATATAATATTTAATATTTAAGATATTAATAATAAATTTTAAATTATTTTTAAATTTTAAAATATAAAATTTTATTTACTTAAAATAATTAATATTAATATTATTAGTTATATAAATTATAAAAATAAAAATAAATATAAATTATTTAATTTAAATAAAAATATTTACTTTATATATATTATATATATTTAATAAAAATTTAAATAAAAATAATTTTAAAAATTATATTTTTAGTTTTACAAAATATATATAATAATTTTAATTATCAAGTTTAATATAAAAAATAAAAATTATAGTAAATTATATTACTAAAAATAATTATATTAATTAATAAAATTTTTTATTAATAAACTTTTTTTATTTAAATAAATTAAAAAAAATTTTAAAAATAGATTTATTTTTAATATATTTTAAAATTTTAAGAATATAAAATTTTGAATATTAAATTATTTATAATTTAAAAATATTTATATTAATTTATAAATTTTTTAAAATTATTATTATTAATATTAATTTTAATATATATAATTAAAAATTTATAATATTTATTAAATTAAATTAAAAATTAATTATTCTATTAATTTAATTTATAAATATAAATTAATATATAATAAATAATATTTAAATAAATATATAGTAGAAAATAAATTTATAAAAATTATAATATAAAATAATAATAATAATTTAAAATATTAATTAATTAAATATATTTTTTTAAAAAAATTAAATTAAAAATAAAGTTTTTAATTAAATAATATTAAAAAAATAAAAATTATCTTTAGAGAATAAATTTTAAAATTAAATAAAATATTTATTTAATTTATATTATTAATAAATATTAAAATTTAAAAATTATTTTTATTTTAAAAATTTTATTATTATTATTATTTTTAATTTATTATTATATTTTATATTATAAATTTATTATTAAATATTAAAATTATAAAAAAAAAATTTAAAATATTAATATAATTATTTTTTTAATTATTTATTTAAATAATATATTATTTTAAAATAAAAACTATATAACTATATATTTAAATTATATATATATTAAAATATTAAAATAATTAAATTTTAATCTATTAATTATATATGTATATATTAAATAATAATAATAATAATAATAATAATAATAATAATAATAATAATTTAATCTTAATTAATTTATATAAATTTATATATATTTAATATAAAATATTTTCAAATAATAATTATAATTTTAAATTAAATAATATTTTAAAATTTAAAAATATTAAATATTAAAATAAAAGAAAAAATTAAATAAAAATTTTAATATAATCTTATTTTAAATTTTATAATAAAAATGTATTTATTAAAATTATATTATTATTTAAAATTATATTATTTAATAATAATATTCTATTTTAAAGCATTAAAAAAAACTTAACAATATAAATTAATTACTCATATTTATATTAGCATAATAGATATATAAAAAACTAAGATTTGCACATTATTTAATATATTATTTAGTAAATTAATTAATTAATTAATTTCTTTTAAGTAAGAAAAGATTAATTAACTAATAAACTAGTTATAGTTTATCAATCTTAAAAATTTATTTTTAATATTTTATTTTCATCATTGAATACATATATTATTACTACATTAAAAAAAGCTATTGTTAGGTATATTCAACATTTTAATCTATATTTATACAGTGTGAATATTAGATATCATCTGATTGAATATATTGAGAAAAGCAAAAGAAGCATGTTGTCACATCCTTGAGATGAAAGCAAGTATAAGAAGAACCTAAAAGTCTAATCTATTTAAAGATTAATCTCAAATTTTGTTATTGATAGCTTAGGTTCCTGTGCTCTGAATTGACTTATTTATTGTTAATAATGATTAACTTCCTAACTTTACGTAATAGGATCACTTTTACTGGAAATTAAAGACCTTGACGAGTTACTGAATTCCAGTGGATATTTCTTAGAATGTCACATACCCTTCAGTGGATGCAAGATATCAGTGATACTCTTGCTTTCCATGATAGCTAATATTGATTTGACTGTGCCTTCCATGTGGCAGGCAGCGTTGACTACCATGAAAGCTGTTACGTGCCCTTTCTTTGAACACAGGCGCCGTTAAGAGTCTCATTGTCTACACTCTGAATGATCTCCACCAGAGTAATATTCTTGTTGACAATGAGTGGAACACCAAGCGCTTTATTGATCTGGAGTGGGAATGCTAGCGGTCAGTTAAAATGCTGCATCTGATGCACTGGCTAGCTGGTCAGGCCGTGGACAAAATTGATGTCAACGAATATAGTTGCTGTCTTATATCGTTCTGGAGGAAGAAAACAAACAGTTTAACAATTTTCTTTTTCCTGCCAATCATGAATCGAGAATTGAAGACTTAAAACATTCTGGTATTCACTATAGTTAGCTCTGAAAAATGAGACCCACAGAGCTGTTTCCTATTAGTTATTAGTTTATGATTGTAAGGGAAATAGTATAACGTAGCGGAACTAGGAACTTGCAATATAAGAGTAGAATCAACGTGATGAACAACCAATGAGCTTGAATTGTTGTTAAGCTTTTTCTTTCTATCAGGATTTTTTAACTGTATTTTAGAGACAAATTATCTGGTAGCCTTCAGTATTAATTCTACTCCCATGTAGGTCATATCCCATGAGTATTCGTGGCTGGCTGTAGCTCCCGTGGAAAGCTGAATCTCAGCTTTGATGGTATCCAAATTCGCCACAGTCAGATTTGCCCGTAATAATGATCACACATCCGACAGAATTTCGCGGACTAGCCTCCATAAGAAGCGGCTTCTTCTCCTGAATTATAATGCAATATTGGACAATTGATATGGAAACTTTTATAGCGAGGAAACTGGAGGACAAAGTTGCCTCTTTATGATAGGAAACCTCAAGAAGAGTTTGGTGTGTAGTCTGCTACCTGTCAGAACTGCCGAGTCGCTATGCTGTGTCGGGCTCTGTTGACATCCTGTCGAGTGAATTCTTCTGCCATTCGACAGGATCTCACGTTCCTCTCTCGCTACTCTGTTCTCCTCTTGAATGGGTTTTAGCGGCTTTCACAGATGTTGTGAGTTTGCTAAGGAGATGTTCTGTCTAGCATAATTTCTTCAAAGATCTCCCTTCGGAGGACGATGTTGACTCTCGATTCGTTGTGCTTGCTGTGGTTGTGTTGAAGTCCTGTTGGAGACAGTTTTTTTACTGCTGAAAAACCGATGTGTTCCCCCTAACTGCCCTGTTTTTTTTTTTTTTTTTGTGATGATGTTTCGAGGCTCTTGCGGAGAACGTAAGCTGCTCTTCGTCTTTTCCACATACCACGATTGTGTCTTCCAATAACGACCCTGTCAAATTCATGGGAGTTTCAAGGAGTCTTGTTCATGGAATTGTGATGTTGTTTTAACTTTTCAGTATCATTTGATACATAAGCAGTGATAAACTGAGGAGAATCACATGCACAAACTAATCAACACACAAAAGATGCACTGGGTCAGATGGTGCAGATCATATCTCTTCCCTCATACCAAAGATCAGAAGTTCAACACTGGGTGAGAATGAGATGAGGAGCTTTCTCTGATTAATTTGAAACAAGAACTTCCAATATGGTTAGTGAGTATTCATGCCATGTAAAAGTGGGGCAATGATAAGGCTGATTGATTGCATACTGAACCAGAAAATAATTTGCATGAACAAAATTATACAATAGTTTTAACTGTAACTTGTATCAGTAACTTCTTCCTTGTTCTTAGTTTCTTTCTCCATGATGTTTATAATTTTCTAGTCGTCTTTCTTATTCCTCTGTCCTTGGATTTTCCTAGTTTTTGCTGCAGATGTGTACAGTGTGACATTCCTTCAGAGGGACTGTTAACTAATAGTGTATCCCCTCTTTGCTCAACAACCATAATGGCAATATAATTAGCTGTTGGGCTTACTCAGAACAAGTGTGTATTGAGCATTTGTTCACTTGTCTTTTCCTGTGTTCTTGCTTTGCTTTCCCCACTTTTCTCGTATTTTCTAAATGTCTTCTTTGTTGCTGCAAGAGTGGTTTAGAAAATTTCCAATGTTCTGCAAGCATATGCCATTCTAAATCCCATGTATGATCCAT